AGCTTGGGAAGCAAGGAGCTGGTGTGGAAGGTGAGTTTGGGGTGAGTTTGCTGGCGGGACATCCAGGTGGAAATCCTTGCCCCGGTGACACAGAGAAGGGAAGCTGTAGGCACGGAGGTTGTGTGTGAGCTCGGGGTGCTAAGGATATGCATCTGGGCTACGAAACTGTGAAAGCAGGAAGTATGAAAACCCGAGGGAGAGAAACACACAGGAGCAACAGCCCAGGGACATGAAAATCAGGCATAAACCAAACAGAACCCTGAACCCCACAGACAAAACATCCTTCCCAAGGACTTCTCATTCACTCTGCTCCACCCATTGATCACAAATGTTTCTCCCCTAGTGGAACTAATACTCTTTGAAGTTAACATTATTTTAATTGCTGCACCTGCCCATTCATAAATTTTCTTGTTTGCCTCTTGGAGCCCCATTATGTTATGTTGCACCTCTCAAATGAGAGTGCCCACTATATGGGGTCAAAATGAGATCAATGAGGTGCTTCTTGTGAACTGAAAAAGAACACTTTCTAAAAGTATGGACATTTTTGCTCCTTAAAGCACCACTAGGGCTTGACCTATTGTGTAGAGAGTTGGCTACAATGTACCTACTGAGGCCCAGTGCTCAGGGGACATGGACAGTAAGTCTGCCAGGGGGGAGGGTGAGCTGTGGGCAGGGAAGTGGTTAGAAGGCTCATTTTCAGAAACGGGGGAGGCCTCGGCCTCAGAGATAGGCCACTGACTACAGAGGGAACTTACACAGAACATATTCTGCTTCCCTAAGTTTGGCCAAATCCACCTTGAATGTGGCCTGTGCTCCCATGAGACAGAGAACTGATACGAGGAAATAAACCACCTGCCAGGCTCAGACCTCCATACAGGTCCCAGACCTCCATGCCATGGCCCTTACCACCAATCCAGTATTCAATCCTCTATTCATAGCCCAGATCTCCATCCTGGGCCCAGACCTCCATCTTGGGCACAGACCTCTTTCTAAAGTGACCCCAGAGAAATACAGAAAGGGTTTATGATATATTAGAAAGGGGAGAAATTTCCTCCATGTTGGGATATCCCATTGCACTTAATCTTTGGAGGAAATTTCCCTCCCTTTGCCAGCACTGTGCTGAGTTCCAGTGGGACGACAAGGAGAAAAACAGAGGTTGGTAACAAATGGGAAGGTCCCAAGCTTCCTTCCCTGTCCTGGCTATTCTGCCAGGTCTTCTTCAAATACCTCCCAACTTCCTGCTCGGCACTTCCCAGAGCCTTTTCTGGTATGGGGGTACGTTCTCGCTTTCCGCGACCAGCGCCGAAAGAGAGAATGCGAGGGTTCATGAATCTTGAGTAGAACATGACGAGGGTTAAGGAAGAATGAAAAAATGAGACTGAGACAGAAATAGAGGGAAAAGCTGGGCCTGGGTGTGGCGTCTGCCCTCTGATAGATGAACAGAGCACCCTCTCACACCCGTGGGATCTTTATTTATACTCGAAGTAACAGGAAGTTACATCACATCTGGGTGGACCCTGAGTTCCTGGCGACATAATGGGATCCACCCCCCTAACACCTGAGCTGGAAAGGTCAGACTGAGTGGTGTCCTTGCCTCTTGGCTAGGACCGCCTCCAGGGCATGGCTCTGCCTGCACCCTGGGTTCAGTTGACAATTTTAAGAACACCCATCGTGCCTACCAGTGGCCCCCCACATTCCGGGTCTCATCTGTGTGGTCAATTTGACACAACTGGCCATCTTCTCCATGAAACTGGTCTTTCCTCAGTCTCTCCTGGTTCAGTCCCACCCTCTGGGTTCTTTACTGTGATCATGCCTGCAAGTAGGCATCCCTTGGACCTTCTTTGCCTCTCAAGAAAGAGAAATTTCAAACATCATGCAAAATTCTGCCTCATCCATAGGATCATTTATTTCATTAGCAACACTAATTTTACTAGTATCTGTAACACAATAAATCTAATACAAGACTATGGGCAGTGAATGTGGCACAGATGGTTCCCTCATGAGGAGACAGGATGTAAACAGAGCCATCATTTTTCACCCAAAGTCAGAGAGTATCGCGGGAGTAGATTCTTAGGTACTTGGTCAAGGGAGGCAGGATGTCAAATTGGATGGAGTTTATTGACTCAAGTGCACTTGCCTTAGTTATAGAATTCAACATCATGCCCAGGACCCATCGACATGGTATAAATGCATGATCCCAGAGACATCGAAAAGGCAGTGTCTTAAACTTGAGAAAAGTTGAAAATCTCAAACAGCCTGACAGGTGGTGAGGGGAGAGATTGAGAGCTCAGGGAAGTGGGCATCTGGAATTGGTTCACCAGTTTACACTGGGGAAGACCCATGAAATGATTCGTGGGAAGGCTCCAAACAGAACACAAACCATGTACCACAAACATGACTCCTCTGTTGCGGGCCCCAGCATCACAGAACGTGGTGGATCTCCTGGGTGGGTCAGGGCTGATGTAGGACAGGCTGCTAAAGAACATGGCTTGCAGACAGGGGTGGGGAAGACAGGGCCCTAAAACAAGAGAGGCCAGTGGGCAGGCTTAACTGACAAAAGCCGAGTGGCTGCAACTACAACAATTGTCAGGCAGGGGGGCCTGACACCCGGACGATGGAGATGGTTAATACAGTGTGGCATCCTTACGGGCAAACCAGATGAGCAGGGGTGAGGGTAGTGCTCAGCTCGTGGCAGTAGAGGGAACCAAGGAAGAATGACCACCACTGCGGTAGCTGAGGGTGAGCAGTTTGTCCTACTAAGTGCCCCCAAGGAAGAGAAGCCCACCAGGATTGACGCCCCCAATGTAGGTGGAGAAGCAGGTCTGAGCAAGGCAAGGGGGGCTGCAGCGGACATGTGGACAGACTGTCCGGATGCTTTTCTCAGGAAGAACTTGCTGCCAGTCACAGGGAGCATGGTCAGCACACACCCTCCAGTAGTTTGTCCCTTCAGGGTTAGACTGAGCTGCCGCACCCAAGATCATGTCTGTCGTGGGGCAGCTAGTGACCAAGTGCGAAGGTAACAATCCCACTATTTCTCGTCCTTGGGACTCCTCCAGCGCTTGCCCACGCCCCTGAGTATAGTCCCCTTCATAGGCCCTCCTTCGTGAGCCTCACTGGAGAGTGCCTTCACTCCGATGGATACAATGGCCAACAAGATGGGTTCACATCGTGAGACGCCCGTAAAGGAAAGACAGGGGGAGGCAGCATTCGAAGGTTCCGCTTTATTGAGCAGGTCAGTGGAAAACTTGGATTACAAATACGAACACAGGCCTGTAATATGCATCCTGCTCTGAGTTTTCTGGGGGGAAAAAAATTGCCTGTGTTCTCAACAGCCGACGGGTGGGGCATGTTATCCTCCTCCCAAGCTGCCGACCGCCTGTCTTAGATGTCACCCACCGAACACGGCACTGAGCGGCCACCCGCCATCCGCCTGGAGTCAGCCTCTTTCAACGCTGCAGATTTCGCCAGGCTCGAAGAAGCATTTGTTCTCTGGGGGCTTCCAAAAATATTGACGGTTCTTGGGAGAGAGTCAACACTAATTTGGGGGACTTTCTCTCTCTCTTTTCCAGGGCGGCAGCTTCCCTGACAGCAGGTGGCCGAGCATTTCTGCTGTTTAAGTGAGGATTTTTTTTTTTTTTTCAGATGGGGATGATCTCATCTCCGCGGTTCTGTCTGGGTGGATGAGTGGCGGGGGCACGCACGTGCCAGCCTGTGTAATGAGCTCTCCGGAGGCTGATGAGCTCAGCGGTCTCCCCCATGACTGTGGGCTGGGGCTGGGCCGTGTCCGTGGCATCTGGGTGCTTGCATATGGGCACCTTTCCTTCTGAGATGGCATTTTATTTCCCAGCCAGCCCTGGAGCTCCTCCCTCCAAGGGAGGCCATTTCCACAGAGCCTCCTCCGCAGGCTGCCCGAGATACGCCATCCTCGAATGTGCCCCTTCCTGGACTCTCTCCAGACCTTTGCTGCCCCCCTCCTGGGAGGCCTGCTCTACCGTTTCCATGTGTCTAGATTCTAATTATCTTACAGATGCTGCTATTTCCACGAAGCCTTCCCCAATCTCTCATGTTGGGTTTAACATTTTCTTTGTCTGCACGTCTGTAACATTATGCTTTGATGACAACTTAGAAATGATTTCCGTGCAGCATTTCACAGTTTTCTAAGCACTTTATGCATGCATTACCTAATCCTTAAAACTTACACCACCATTCCAGGAGTGCTGAAAGCCTTATCCACTCGGGCAGTCCCTGGTACTGTGCGCCCTAATTCCCAGTTCTTTTTTATTTATATACATGTCTATGGATTTCTGAGAGGAAGGGAGAGGGAGAGGAAGAGGGAGATAGAAACATCAATGATGAGAGAGAATCATTGATCAGTTGCCTCCTGCACGCCTCCTACTGGGGATCGAGCCCGCAACCTGGGCATGTGTCCTGACTGGAATCGAACCTGGGACCCTTCAATCCGCAGGCCAACGCTCTATCCACTGAGCCAAACCAGCTAGGGCCCAGTTCTCCGCTTGGCATGTGAGCGTGGCGCTTCCCTGCCCCTGTGAAGTGGAGCAAAGCCACGCGACCTCCTTTGGCCAGAAAATAGAACTGATGTGTCCTTCCTGTGGGAGGCTGCAGCTCGCCACACTCCTTTTCCCCAGACCACGGTGACCAGCCATATTTGAGGTCGTGGTGGCCCCGAAAGCCTGGATTCTCTGCTCGGGGCTGAGGATACAAGGTGGGTGAGAGCTGGTCCAGCCTTGGAGATGCTCAAGGTCATGGGGCAGACTCACCAGGCGGCTGCTGGGGCGTCCCTGGTGCTGACACAGAGATGACGAGGACGTGATGAAATACCTGCCCTAATGGAAACATTTTCAACGCCGGGTCGGCATGTGGGAGGAGGGCCCTCAATTTGCCTGGAAAGTTCCTGGAAGTGGTTACGTTTAAACCTCTCCTCGAAGGGTGAATCCACATGTGACAGGCGTGGCTGTTTCAGGGCACATGACAGGCGCAGAGGCAGGAAATAGCTTGCCCTGTCCAAAGAGACAGAGGCGATGAAGGTCCTGGAGGGGAGGCTGCGGGACAGCGCTGGTGTTGGCACACGGCCCGGCTGCAGCACCTTTACCACTGACGGCACCCAGGAAGCACCGAGTAATGCTCACTCCTCGCCTCTCTTCCACGTCACACTCCATGCTCTTCCTAAGGGTGCAGGGGAGGCATCGTTTCATACTCTCTCCATGGATGGCGCATAGGGACTTGCGTCTCCTTCCCCAGGAGCCTGTCTCCTGCTCTTTCTCCAGCCAGCGTGGCGGCAGCAGAGGCCCGCGGGACCGGCCTCTCCTCCTCTCTGGAGGCTCCCGTCTGCCTGAGCCAGGCTCTCGGCCCCGCTTTCCCTTGGCTGCGGGCCTGGGGACCATCCATCCATTCCCCAGCCCGTGGGAGGGACTCGGTGGGAGAGGCGGATGGAGCTTCTGTGTCATCCCCGGGTTCCCTGCACAGGTGTCTTCGCCGGCTCTCAGGTCCCAGTCCTGCCAGTGGGAAAAGCACAGGCACGCGGGTTCCCGGGCCGGAGGAGGACCCGTCCCCCGGTGTCCCTGCCAGAAACACTTCGCTGGGCGAGCTGTGACGCGTGACTGCGCTCGAAGCCAGCGAGAGGCTCCAAAGTGGGATTTCACCTTTTTTTTTTTTCAAGTGAGTGGGAGGCGGTTGCTCTGGATCTGGCTCAGACAGAGGATTTTCTTTTACATCTAAAACCTTCTTCAGCGGGAGAGGAATTCTGCTCGGAAGGGTGGTTTCCGATTTGGGTTCAAGTGCTGGCTCGTCAGCTGGTCTTGGATGTCAGACGTAGTAACCTCTGCAAGTGAATGTCCTTCGCTGGCAACGAGGTCAGAGAGACTCGCCGCTGAGTGTCCCAGAAACATGCTCACACCAGGGCCCGTCTGCCTAGAACGCCCCTTGTTGGCTATGCAGAAGGTAGGCATTGGCAATTCAGCATCTCCCTGGACAAACCCACCTTCCACCGCCCAGACCACCATCCCTCCCACTCTCACAGATCTCAGTTCAAGTTGCCTCAAACCTGAGGATGCCTCTCTCTCTCTCTCTCTCTCTCTCTCTCTCTCTTCCCCAAAAAACCACACTCATTCCATCTACAAATCCTGATGCATCACTCCTCAAAATTCAAAATCTATGCAGAACTGTCACTTCTCCCAACCTCCGCAACCACCCCCCATCCAAACCAGCACCACCTCTCTCTGCATTGTCACCACCACTTCGAACAGGTCCCTGGCGTTTCTCCTCGCCCCTAGGGAGCAGCCAAGGTGGGCCTTTGGGAACAGTCTTGCACCTTGCCCCACCCCTGTGTCCTCCCCGCCACACACTGCCATGCCACGCGGAATAAAGAGGTGACAGAGCTCTGTGAAGTGCCGCAGCCTCTGGCCCCATCAGCCCCCTCACGGCATCTCCCTCACTGACCTGCCCTCCTTCTCTAGCCATGTGGCCCCTGGTCACTCTCCCAAGGAACTAGGCTCATTCCCACCACAGGGCCTTTGCATTGATTCCTTAACCCACTCAGATCCCTCTTCCCTAAGCAGTCCAGCCTGGCTCTGACAGCTCCCCGAGTTCTTTGCTTCAATGCCACCCCCCCAGACCACACCATGTCACAGCAGCCCCTTTGCAGTGTCCGCGCCTCCCTCCTGCTCACTCTTCTCCATCCCTTTGGCACCACGGGGCTGGCTGGCTTTCTTATTGTTTGTCTGTTTATTAATGGCCTGTCTCCTTTTAGTATAATGTCACCTCCATATGTGTGGAGCCATCTGGAAAAGGGCTGCACCCGCATCCAGACCCTGGCACTGGGTGCTCATGAGGCCGTGAGAGACGATGGGTCCTGGGGAACAGCTTCTGAAACCAGGCACCCACTGCACGCATGGACCGGGTCACGGGCCCGCCACACAGACACGCTGCGGGCGGGGCCGAGACAGTGGCTTTCCTGCCAAGACTCTCCCGAGCTTTGCTCACCGCGTGGGAACAAGAGGAACGGATTTCACCACATGGATCGAGGGAAACGGAAGAGGAAGCAGCTGCCCTTACTCTCGCTTTGAAGACATAGTTATCTGGCTCACTATTAAAATGTGCGCTGGTGAGCAACGGGGGCAGATTGCATTAACCGCCTGGGAAGGCCCCAGCAGGGTGGCGCTGTCCCAGAGGCGCATTCAGATCTAAAAATAACCGTTTATGTGTTGGGTTTTGTGTGAGCTTGGGGCCAAGCTTCATTTTTCCCATATAGATAGTCACTGATGTAGCACATGCACTGAAGCAGCCATTCTCTCTCTCCTGCGCTCTAGTCTCTCCTTTGTTATAGATCAAGTGTCCATATGGGACGGTCCTGTTCCTAGACTCTATTTAGTTCTAATACCACACTTCTCATTACTCACTCAGTTGTATACATTACTCTTCTCTGTCATCAAAATAATGACTACCACCATCACCATCATCATCATCACCATCATCACCACCACCATCATCACATCAACATCACCACCACTATCATCACCATCACCATCACCACCATCATCATGCCATCATCATCATCATCACCAATACCACCACCACCACCATCATCACCACCACTATCATCATCATCATCATCTTGGTAATTAACAGTTATTGGTATGATTATTATGTACCGGCAGCATCACATGCACTTAACCAACTCCATGAGATCAGTATTATTACAAACCGTATTTTACAGATGAGGAAACTGAGGCCCAAGGCGGGTGGATAGAACTCCCAAGATCACACTGCTCCTAAGTGGCAAACAAGGATGTGCCCCATCTTTGTGGGAACCTGCGTCTTCTAGGACTTTCTATTTTCACCTCAGTCCTTCCCTCAGCTACCACCTGCCCTTCCATTACCTGGTGCCTCTCTGGTGTCGATGAGGCTGTTTCTGGTTGTGGGACAGACAGGCCTGGCCCGAGTTTGCTCTGTTTTATGAACAGACGAACAAGTAGATTTAATCTCAAATAAGATGATTAGTCCTTGTAAACCTTTTTAAAGATCAAGACTGGCCGCTTTGGGAATCACTGGTGTTTATCCCGGGGAGAAACCTCACGTTGCAGGCAGGGCTCAGCACAGGCGGGGCTGCCTCCAGATGCACCTGGAGGAAACTCCACTAGGAGGCTCCACTGAGCTTCCTTATGCTGACACCCCTCACCCAGCTCCTCATCCACCTGGCGTGGGGGTTCCTGGGAGCTTAGACGCAGCACTGAAGGCAGCAGGGTAGCGTCCTTGGTGCCAGGGAGTTGCCCCAACAACTCACAACTGATCTACCCATTGCCTGGAGAAGCAATGCGCTCTGTGTAAGGGGCGAGCCCTGGACAGAACAATCCCAGAGGGGGAACAAGTAGTCCTGGAAGCCTGGGGCCCTGAGTGCCAGCGGCTGAATGCGCAGGGGAGAGTGCAACCAAGGGGAGCAGAGGGTGGCAAGGACGCCGTGGGCACGAAGGCCCCACCTTCTCCGAGCACAGGATTTGCTGTGGCTGATGCCGCCCCGCTGACTCTTCTGCTGAGTCCCCACTGGTCGGAAGCCAGCGCGGAGGGGGTGCTAACTGCGCTCAGGTAGCACTCGGGCAGGCGATCTCACACAAGCCTAGGAGCTGTGGAGGCGCTATTATTAATTTGGGGACACTTTAACACCCCTGCACGGTGGTGTTAACACCAGCTTAGCAACCTGGCTGGTTAATAGGGGGGAAGAGTAAGGGGTTGATTTAAAGAGACACAGCAGGTGAGAAACTAGAGTCACTGCAAATGTTTTCATGCAGGGAGAGAGTTTGGGATTCTTCACATGTCATTGGAGGTAAGGGTTTAATCTTGCTGATGTACATGTATGGAATTTTGTAGTTTTCTTATGAATCAGTATGGTGTCGGATAGATCACAGTATCGCATTGGAAAGAGAGTTAATAAGACAGGACATGGAAAAGGGCGTTCTGGAAAGAGTGTGAGTGCACAGGGCCTCTCTCAAGTCCTAGGATGTGACGCCCCTGGGATGGTAGTTAAGGGGCGGGGGCAGGTCCATATCTTCACCCACTGGGGCAAGGCTGGCTGAGCCCCCGACCCGGGAGAGAATTCCTCACACCTTCCTGGACAGCCCGCATGTGCGGAAGGCCGGCCACGGTGGCAGGTGGCTCCATCACTGCGCTCACTGTCAACTACATGCTGGGGGGTGGCCATCGTCTGCCGGCGGGTAGACGGGCTAGAGAGGGAAAAGGTGCTGTCACTTCTAGTCTGGTGCTACCAGCCGCCGCACACCCTGAGGGCCGGGAGGAAGGGCTTCCCCTGCAGAAGTGCGTTCCCCCGAGGTCGTGGGCCTCCAGGTAAAGGTCACGTGCAATCGGCAGGCGTGCTGCGTGGTCAGGGCCCTGGCAGAGATCAGAGACAGGCGCCTGGAGGAGAGGATGTGCCCCGAGGCGCGGGCAGGCTGGGTAGAGGAGCACTGGCACGCGGAGAGCTCCCCAGGAGTGTCTGGGACACAAGCTGTCCCTTCTTTGTCAGCAGATGGGCTCAGGCAGGGAAATTCGAGTCGGGTCCCGAGTGGGAGACAACGCTGCACCTTTTGGCTCACTGTGCAAACCCACCTCGGCAAAGGCTCAGACAGACAGGGTTCCCCTTTACGAAGGCCCAGGCAAGGGGATCTAGAGGCTCACCTTCACACTCAGCCCTAAAAATAACCTTGTAGTGTCAACCGGCATGGCTCACGCCCACCTACGAACCAGAGCTCACGGCTTGATTCCCATCAGCGCACATGCCTGGGGTGTGGGCTCCACCCCAGTGGGGGACATGCAGGAAGCAGCCCATCAGTGATTCTCTCTCATTGTTGATGTTTCTATCTCTCTCTCCCTCTCCCTTCCTCTCTGAAATCAATAAAAATTATATTTTTTAAAAAATAACCTTGATGTGTTGAGCTTAGTGGGAGGCAGGGTTTGGTTTCACGGTCTCCCTCCAGCAGGGCCCCCACCCGGCCCTGGGCCTTGGCAGCACACGCTGCTCCCATCACCCTGAGAGGCTCACCCAGCCCTGGGAACACACAGCCCCACCCTCTGAGGGCTGCGTGCACTGGCAGGAAGGGTGGCGACTTCCGTGTGGGGGGCAGCTTGGTGCCCAGGGGGCAGTGGTGGGAGCTGTGACCTCACAACAGGTTGGGGCCGAGATTTGTCCTCTAGGCAACCGGCAAAGGGGGCATTCATATTGGGGGGGGGGGGCATGTTAATACAGCAGATGCTTAGGTTGCCGTAACACAATACCATAGACTGGGTGGTGCCTGAACAATAGAAACAGTTTCTCACGGTTCTGGAGGCTGGACGTCTAAGTTCAAGGTGCGGCTGGTGCGGTTCCTGTGAAGTCCTTCCTGATGTGCAGACAGCTGTCTTCTCAGCATCCTCACGAGGTGAAGAGAGAGAAGAGGGGGGAGAGAGAAATCGAGCTGGGGTTCCTCTTTTCTAAGGACACTAATCCCACCAGGGGGCCCATCCTCATGACCTCATCTGACCTAACCACCTCCAAACACGACCTCAGTGGGATTAGGGTTTCAACATGGGAACTGGGGGGTGGGGAACACATTCGGTCCATAACACCATGTGTTCTGGTTGTTTAAGGAATATTTGCATTAGGTTAGTTCTATGATTTACTGAACATTCATTTCCACTAGCAAACACTTTATTCTAGACAAATAGTGGGTTATAGCACATTTAAGGTACACTGTTCATTTTAAAGTGGGTTAAAAATATTACTGCAGCAAGTGGGAGCTACGACACTGGGGTGGTGATGTTGGTAAATAGCTCTGTGTGTGTCCCACAAGCGAGACGCATACACTCTCCGCGCTGAGCAAAGCTGGGTCCTGGGAGGGGGTCCCAGTCACTGCAGCCTGACGTGTCAGATCAGCGGGGGCACTTCCGGGTCATCTTCAAAACCTGGATCTTCCTCATGTGGCATGACTTTGGGTTCGGGTCGGACTCTTCTGGGTGCGGGTGTTTTCCCTCCGACTATGTTAGCCACGTCGGGGAACGAGTGCTTGCTGGGATCCACCTCGAGTTTCTCAGTTTGTCTGCTTCTAGAACAACAAAAAAAAGGCCAAGGGAAATCGGAACATCGTTTAAAATTCAATCACAAACAGATTCAACTCGCACATTCATTTCTGCAGCAAACATGGTAGGTACTACCCCTGCAGCATAGCAACGCCGATCAGAGGCTGTGCCTGGTTTCCTGTGGCTTGGGGCCTTGTAGAAGCACGAGCATGACCTTGGAGTAATGGGGTGTGAACAAGTGCTACCGGGCTGTGCGAAGGCCCAGGCAGCTGCGGCGTGGTCAGCTGGTCCGAGGTCTGCTTACCTAAGTCAAAGCCTGCTTCCCACAGCCGGGATCACAGCGGAATCACTCCAGGCGGGTCTTACTCCTGAGTGTCGCTACTAAGGCTCATGGACCTGCTGGGTCAGACAACCCAACCTGCAGTGGTTCGGTAGGAGCGTTTACGGGACAAGTTCAGGTGCTTAGCCGAGCTCCGCCCACCACGTTCCTCTCCCAGGAGAACCTGCTCCTCCTGCCCACACCCGGAGCTCCCAGCAGCAGCTGTAGCGAAACACAGGACAGAAGCCCCACTGGCCAGGGATTCCCATTGTAAGAGTCAGTGAAAACTCTAGATCAGGGGTGGGAAACGTCTGGCCCGCGGGCCGTATCATGCCCGTAAAATCATTTGGCCTGGCCCGGCCAAGGCATCAGGGGTGAGTTGATTAAATGTTTGACCAAATACAGCAGGCCAGTTTTTAAGCTGATCATTTTGTATGGTGCACGAATGATGTTATAAACATCCAAATGGCCGTTGGCAGAGAAAAGGTTCCCCACCCCTGGTCTAGATAATACAGCTCGCTGGGCTGCTTTTCTGGCCATTTCGATTCCATAGGCCTGGGGTTGGGCCCAGTGAGCAGTATTTATATAAAGTTCCCCTGGTGATTTTGCCGATCAGTCAAATTATTTTGGAATCACTGCACCATTCATCTAGTCAGTTATTCCATAGATAAATGCTAAGTGCCTACTATGTTCTAGACACCAGCCATCCAGGGGTCCATGCAGACACTGTTATTAACTTAATTAGGGTACTCCTAAGGCTTAGGAAGAGCCACACTCAAGGGGCCAAAGAGCCGCATGTGGCTCGCGAGCCGCAGTTTGCCGACCACGGATCTAGTCAGTTATTCCATAGATATACGCTAAGTGTCTACTATATTCTAGACACCAGCCATCCAGTGGTCTGTGCAGACAGGTCCCCTGGTAACTACATCCAACAGTGTAGTAAGACCTTGATTGTACACTATAAACTATGCAGGAAGTTATAGTTTTCAGGGACCCACATTAAAGTCATTATTAGCCCTGACTGATGTGGCTCAGTAGGTTGAACATCGTCCGTGCACTGAAAGGTTGCCAGTTTGATGCCCGATCAGGGCCCATGTCTGGGTTATTGGCTTGATCCCCAATAGGCGGCATGCAGGAGGCAGCCAATCGACGTTTCGCTCTCACATCTATGTTTCTGTCTTTCTCTCTCTCTCCCTCTCTCTCTCTCTCAAAGAAAATCTTTAAAAAATATTTAAAGCCATTATTAAATAGCGTTCTACTTTTTAATTACTAGATTCTTATTGAAAAGGCTATGATATCAGTGGCTTAATTAAGTAAACACCCAAATCATCTATTATGATTGCGTTGTCCTTGACTTTGTGGAAAAGCAGCCTCTCTCGCTGCCAGCGTGTCTCCTGGGCCACAACTTCCGGTCTCAGTAATAGAGGGTGAGCTCAGCCTGGACGGGTTATCTGCCGCTCTCCCGCCTCGGAGGCCGAGGGCTGACTGGCAGGCAGGACTTTAATTACTCAGGACGCTCTGGGTAAGGAACAGCGAGCAGCCAGGCCTGGGGCGCGAGGGCCGCACTCATCCCCACAGAAAGAGGCGGCGGCTCTTCTCCCTGCTGCTTCCTCCTCAGAGCCCGGGGCCTGAAGCCCAGGTGCCCGGCGTGGTCTTACCCACCACCTGGCTGCCAGAAGCAGAACCGCTAAGTCTAGTAAGAATAACTGGAAGACAAAATTGATATACTTATTACCAAAAAAGGAAGCAAAAAAAAAGAAGTATTACTAGGCGTAAAACCATCAAAGATTGATTCCGTCTATTAAAGAGCATAAGAATAGCGATATGCGGGCTGGCATATTAGGCCCAAAGTCTCCCATTTCCAGCTGAAATCTTTCTAGAGGTCATGAAGAACCTGACAACAAGGAACTTCCCGAGATCAGAACTTAGTGGATACAGGAGCCCAGAGAGGGAAGCAGATCCTGAAGCCACTTTTGCCCCGAGGGCATCTGCTGGGCCCTGAGGCTGTGCTTGGTCACGCTGACCCCATGGAGACCGGGGACAGAGGCCAAGGTCCTGAGCGGCCCCCCGCCGGGGCTGAGAGGAGGAGGGTCCAGCGGGACTGAGGAGAGCTGAGTTGTCACCACAGCTGACATTTCCACGGGCCAGGTGGGCAGTCTTACAGGGCGAGGGTGGGGTCTCAGAGGGCTCCTCTCCTGCAGGAGGGAATAAGAAGTGAGCCCACCCCCCGGGGCTGAGAGGAGGCTGGCCCAGCGGGACTGAGGAGAGCTGAGTTGTCACCACACGCTGACATTTCCACAAGATCTGGTGGTTTCCATGGCAGCTGGTGGTTAAAAACCCTCAACCTTGAATTTAGAGTCAAGTGGTTCCCCGCTGGCAGTGCCTTCGGGTCTGCCCCAGAGCGCATGCCAGGGCTTCCTGGCCGAGTACCTTTGGGACGGGCCAGGGCCCAGGGCAATGTGGGTAATGAAGCTTGTCGGTGGCTCAGGAGCACCACACACCAGGTATGGCCACGAGGGGATCAATTCTTACTAATCAAGATGAAAATAACATCGGAGGTGCTACTGGGAAGAATGGCACAAAGACCTCTCCGGTCACCGAGTGGGATCACAGTGATGCCGGGTTTCCTGGGAGTAAAATCGGCTCCCAACTGCTTGCGCGACTGGGCTTCCCGTCACGACCCGATCCCTCCCAAATGAGGTTCCGATCTTTACATGTTGATGCCGTGTTGATGCTGTTGGGGGTTAATTATGACCGTGAGTATCCATGACAGTCACAGTGCCCATGAGTCTCTGTCGGCTACACGTGTATCTGAAATGGAAATCACGGCTGGGACACACGAGTGGGTCTCCAAGGCTAGCAACAGCTCCGCACTTTCCAGGAGGAACTGAATGCCATACCTGTTCAAACCAACCCCGTGTTAGAAAACCCCTGCAAACCTCCGACAGCGGTCTTTGAATGCACGCACTCCTATTGTTGGGGACCCAGATGGGACTGACACACCGCCCTGAGGAGCGCCCTGCGAACGTGCTGCCACGGAAAGTGCTCTAAGCCGGGACCACGAGTCCCCGTCCTCCCAGCTCATTGGGCTCTGGTCTCTTCCTCTGAGAAATGAAGTCTGCTTGTATGATGCAAGAGATCAATACAGCCCCTGCTCAGGTGTTTATAGGGTGATAATTCCAGCATAGACATTGGTGTCACCAAGATAGTGTGCAGGGGTTCAAAACAGACTCTGCCATCTGGCCCGCAGGAGTCTGGAATCATGGCAAGTAGAAGGAAAGTTGAAAGAATTGGGGTGTTCATTCTGAGGAGGAATTGGGAAATAATGAGAGCTTTGTCTGAAATACTGTAAGGGGCATCCCTGCCTGGAGGGGGGGCGGTGGGCTTTGTTTGAGGGTCCCCAGGGGGCAGAGCCGGAGTCTTCAGTGAGGGATCAGAGAGGCTTGCCAACACCAGGAAATACTCAAAAGGGGTGGACGTTCTCTCGAGAGGGTGAAGGTCCCGGTGGGACGATGCTTAAGCGAAGGCTAGATGATGATGATGAGGCCTCTGGCCCCGGCAGCCTGAGAGGTCGGACTCCATGGGGTGACATGTGGACCATCCAAGGCAGGCAGTGTGCGCAGCACCAGCAGCAGGCTCAGCAGCGTCCCAGCACCGCATGGTGACACAATCTCCCTCTCCCTCACGCTCCCCATCTGTGAACTGAGGACACAGCTCGTGCGGGTTCACGTGTTGGCACAGAGCAAGGGCTCAGGAAACGCTCGCAGTGTCGCTGCCGACACCACCATTCGTATTATCGCAAGAAATCGGGACCTACAGGGACACCGATTTGTTTTCGGAATCAAAAGGGGTGGACGTTCTCTCGAGAGGGTGAAGGTCCCGGTGGCACGAAGCTTAAGTGAAGGCTAGATGATGACCTCTCACAGGAAGAGACACGATGGGGCCTCTGGCCCCGGCAGCCTGAGAGGTCGGACTCCATGGGGTGACATGTGGACCATCCAAGGCAGGCAGTGTGCGCAGCACCAGCAGCAGGCTCAGCAGCGTCCCAGCACCGCATGGTGACACAATCTCCCTCTCCCTCACGCTCCCCATCTGTGAACTGAGGACACAGCTCGTGCGGGTTCACGTGTTGGCACAGAGCAAGGGCTCAGGAAACGCCCGCAGTGTCGCTGCCAACACCACCATTCGTATTATCGCAAGAAATCAGGACCTACAGGGACACCAATTTGTTTTCGGGGACCCAGGGCCTTGCCCATCACGAGTCTAAGTTTTGGGAACTAACCTTTCTGGTATGACTCACTTTGAAACTTTAAATAATTGCATCTCTTTGAGAGGTGCTCCTAGCGGCCCTTGAGAGGGAAGAGAATGAGATGATGAAGCCACAGACAGCCCAGGAGGCGGTACCTTTCGCCTGTGTGCTCCCTGCTGCTGTCCAAGGTACTCCGCACAGACAAGGGCGCTCGCGGGCCCCCTGTGATCACTTCTCCCACCTGGAATGAAAATACAGCACACGCTAAGTGGTGTGTTACGCTCTGTCATGTCTTTTAACATATTACACATGAATATGGATATATCTTAAGATGCTAAAGCGCTTTAATTTTCACTACACAGTCCATGGCAGAGTCTCACTTTACACTCTCTATGTGGCCTGGAAGGTATAAAACAGAATAGATCTGTTCACAATAGTCTTGTAAGGCCACAGCTATGTTTCAAAGGACATGCCCGGGGATGCGGCGAGTGAGTTCGTTTACTAATGAGTTTCCTGAGCGCCAGCAGCAGGCCCGGCCCTCGGGGAGTGTTGGGGACCCAGATGGGACTGACACACCGCCCTGAGCACACGGCAGCCAGGACTGCAAGTCCCCATCTTCCCAGCTCATTGGGCTCCGGTCTCTTCCTCTGAGAAATGAAAGAATTAGATGTGATCTCCAAGGTCCCTCCCTGGTCTGAAAAATTCTGTGATGTTACCGCTTCCTTTTTCACTAAATGACCTCAGTGCTGCGCATGGGAGGTCTCCACACTAAAACCGATCGATCCGATCCAACAAGCATCCAGGACAGCTGTTCAGACCCAGGACCCGCCCTCAGGAAGCTCGCCGAGGGAGGGACAGGGAGGCCGTGCGGGTGCATGTCAGCCCCGACAGCATGCCGGGCCACGCTGCTGTGCGAGTCAGGCAGTTTACACATTTCACTTACTTAACCCCCCCGGCTCCCCGTGTCCCCATGAGACAGGGATTGCGTGTAGGCGGAGAGAAGGAATTTGAAAACTGGCCTCCTGTTGCCTTGGTCCCCTGGCCAAGGTGGGGGCTTCCACCCTTTCTTTTCAAGGGAGAGAGAGATCCGAGTGTCCATTGCTCTCTCCGCCCTCATCAGCAGCTTCTCTGTGGCGGGGGAATGCTTCATTCACTGGGCACATCTCCCTGGTGAGCAGGTCATGCCTCTGACAGGTGAGGGACACATTTTAATTACATGAGTGAGGCCAAGGTTAGTGAAAATTTATTGCAGCATTACTTCCAATAGCCAAGAGCTGGAAGCAGCCCAAGTGCCCATCAGTAGATGAGTGGATAAAAAAGCGGTGGTACATTTACACCATGGAATACTATGCAGCCAAAAAAAGGAGCTCTTACCCCTTGTGGCAGCATGGATGGACCTGAGAGTATTATGCTAAGCGAAATAAGTCAGACAGAGAAAGACAAGTACCATATGATCTCACTCATATGTGGAATCTGATGAACAAAATAAACTAACAAGCAAAATACAGACAAAATCATAGATAGAGAGAAGGCTGACAGCTGTTGGGGGTGGAGGGATAGAGGAAAAAAGAGAAAAAACTCATAGACACGGACAACAGTGTGGTGTCTGCGGGGAGGGAAAAGGGGGATAAATGGTGATGGAAGGAGACTTGACTTGGGGTGAGCACACAACGCAGTGGACAGATGATGTGTTGTAGAGTTGTGCACCTGAAACCTGCATCATTTTGATAACCAGTGTCATCCCAATAAATTCAATAAAAAGGGAAAATATTTTTAAAAGATATGTTGAATTTCTTCTTAAAGTTGGTAGGATTAAGTAAATTATAAGACTGTGTAATAAAAGTAGGTATTACAGAAAAGAATATCAACTTTAAGAAGAAGGCTCTTGAGCCCAAGGTCCAAGTTTTGTATCTGTTCGGATTGTAAATGCACCAACAAGAACGGGAGCACGGGCATAATTAGCGTCTTAAAACACCCATTTCTAACACTGTATCTTGTCACGTAATAAGCTCAGACGAAGATCCTCTGTGTTTATGGAAATGCAAACAGAATCACAAATGTGGGACTTTCTTCGCAGAGAATTTGCTGTGCACCAGAATCTAAATGTGTCCCTTCTTTTTAAAAGCTATTTTCAGCTCAGTTAGTTTCAAAGGTCCCTTTAAGCTGAAAAGTTAGGAGGGACTGAGAGCTCAGCCCTGTGCGAGATGCTGACACCCACGTTCACATGAACCGCAGGTAAAACTCTGCTGGTGAGAGACTCCTGCTCCCGAGCGGAGGACCGTGGGCTCGGCGCTCCGGGCAATGACCTCGGGCTCCGCGTAGGGCTGCTCCTCCTCTGGGAAGCCATGTTCATTAACACCAAGCATCTCCTTCATTTGTGCTAAGCATGCTCAGAAGCAACTAATGGAAACGCTGGGAGGACCAAAATACAGTCTGTTTAATACATTAGGTAACGTGGGACTAATGGCTTCCTGAATCCACAGAGAGACATGTAAGCAGCTACTTGAAGAGTGGGTTGTGGGAGAGGCATGCGGGTACAGATGAGTGTTTTCAGGATGTCAAGCATCACTTGACCACGCGCAGAGCCGTACCGCTGACTGTCCTGCAGAGGGCGCAGTCCCTTCCGACCTTTCCTGACAGGTGACTGCCAGGCCTTTGCTGAAATAGTGCCCGGGGATGAGGTCGCATTACCTGTTGGGCAGCACCCTGCGCGGACATGGTCTCTGTTCACTTGACCGCCATGTGTGTGGCTGCTTCACCAACTCTGAGAGCTGCGGACGCGAGACGCCGAGGCCGGGTGAGCCGTGTAAAAAGCCGGTGAACAGATGCCAGGGACAGAGACATGGCTTTTCTTCCTGATGTTGAGGTTGAACTGCAGAAATGACCAGCACCTGGTCATTTTTGACCCACACAGCGGTGATTTCACATGGTTCAACGTCAGAGTTATTTGTGTGAAGTTGAATGAGAAAGGGCCGACATCACTCCATTTCAGATGAAGACTTGCTGGTGGCAAATGAAAAGAGTGACTGGGCAAAGAAAACGGGGTGTAATCAGACATATTTGCTGAGCCTGCTCGACACTGGGGCGTAGGAACGGACGGGGCGAGGGCAGACCTGGGCCTGCGGGGATGACGATCAGGGGAGTCAACAGGGAAAAGGCAGGAAGAAGGACCAAGGAGCCCAGTGTCACTCACTGTTCCCCCCACAGCAATTCCCACAGCACTTTCTTCATGCCAGCTTCTTAATAAATCTTTGGTAAATTGAATAAATATTTTAATTGCTTGATTAATAATTCATTCATTGTCTAAAGTTGTTCATGATGTTGCAGAAAGCTTTCTATTTCTGAGTTCTAGCACCCCACTTCCACATTGGGACAACCCAACAGACGAAGCAATTCCCTCGCCTGGTATTAATGCCTCCCGTATAATTTATTTACGGTGTATCAGCATTTTGTTTGGTGTGCACATCCGACGTCTTCGCCCATGCCTCAGAAGCAGTTTCTAAAAATGTCTCCCCCTTATTTTCTTCGTAAAACTTCCGCACTGCCTACGCCCATTAGATACCAGTGGCCTTGACATAGGCCCATGGTCTGATGGGCGGGTGGGGGAGCAGGATCAGTTAGTGGGAGGGCCCTCAGCCACGGGCCCGCCCTACACTGAAATGGCGGCTGCTTCCACCAATCTCGTAGCAGCTCCAGAGGCGGCGGGTCACATAAACTGTCCACCTGCTTACATATCTCTGGTGTTTCTGTTGATTGGTTAGTTACCCATAATTCTGATATTGAACATTTGAATATACAAAGTTCAGATTCCTATAACAGTAATCCTATATAATAAAAAGCTATTATGCAAATCAACCAAACAGGGGAATGACTGGTCACTATGATGTGCACTGACCACCAGGGGGCAGACACTCAATGCAGGAGCTGCCCCTTGATGGTCAGTGCACTCCCACAGGGGGAGCACCACTCAGCCAGAAGCCGGGCTCACAGCTGGCAAGCACAGCGGCAGTGGCGGGAGCCTCTCCTGCCTCCACGGCAGCACTAAAGATGTCTGACTGATGGCTTAGGCCCACTCCCAGGGGGCCTATATCCCCAGAGGGCTCCCGGACTGCAAGCGGGCGCAGGCCGGGCTGAGGGACTTCCCCCCCCCTCCCCCTCGAGTGCATGAATTTTTTGTACTGGGCCTCTAGTATTAATATAAAACTTCAGAATCTATAAGACATTTTTATTTCCCTCTGGCATTAGACTACATTTATATATATAAACTCTTTGAACAGATAAGAATACCTATATAAGTCAAACATTTCTGAAGTATATTCTATCTCAAATAAGTACATACATAGCAGCAAAGAAAATGTAAATTTTGAAAAAACAAACAAACATAAAAATACTAGCTTTGATTCCAAAGTTACCCAAGTTGTCGGAGGAAATTTTTAAAAGGCACGATTACTGATCTTTCTATGTGAAATCAATATTGACAGTTACAAGACTTTGAAGTAAAAGTAGAACATGTCTAACTAACAATAGGTCCTTCAAAATTCTTTCATGCTTGTAAAGTGCAATCTCATCTGACACCCACAACGCGGCCTAAAACGGAAAATGTCTGAGGAAGTTAGGACGAGCACCAAGGGTGATAATGATGTTTAAAAAGAAGAGAAAACATCCTTTGACAGTCTCCCCAGAGAGTCTCGGTTGGAAATGTCCTCCGTCCACATGACCATCCTGCTTGGTCCACGCCAGCCACAGGGCGGAAGTGCTGGGACGTTTATACCACCCCTCCCCCACCCCAGCACCCCCACAGCAGGAGCAGCCATCAGCCACAGAGCCTGGGCCTGGTGTGCCCCATCCCAGCCCCATCGCCCCTTGGGCAGAGGGGTCCCGAGGTGTGCGATCTGCACCCTAGAGCTGCTGGCTCAGTAGGACACTGCCTAGTGGCTGTTTCCCTTCCCTGCTCCCGACCAGCATCCCCTCACTGACCAAACAGACTGCCGCACTCACAGCTCTACAGTAGGTTCCGCTTCTGGGTGACCTCAAGTTAAAACAGTGTTTTACAGCCTGTGTCTCACAATCTAACCCTGCAACAACCGTGGGACTCTCAGGAGGAAGGGAACAACCTGGTATAACCAGACTCCCAAACACTGACTGAGTTTCTCCTGGCTCCCACTCATGTCTCAGGGAGCGCCTAGCTGAACTGTGTGTGCTGTGGACTATTTGAAAAAAACAATTATCTATCTGCTTATCTATCTATTATCTATCTATCTATCTATCTATCTACTTATCTATCAAAAAATTTGAGTCCATGGCGATGTTTACTTCCTCACTGGGTTTGTGAGGCATGTGTGGGTGGGTGGTACTCACCCAAGACCACCTTCATTCAAGTCAAGGCCCAGTTTGGGAACCATTTAGACAGGCTGCAAGACCTTCTGAGGATCGGGTGTCCTCTCATTACCTCCCCCCCGACCCCAGGTCATGACCCTTCAGTCATATCGCCAAGTGGGGGAGGTTTCTAGAACCCCTATCCATGGCAGCCTCTGAAATGTGACTCTTTTCTTCTCATCCCTGCGTAGTCACTGAAAACATGGTTTATTCCCTCGGCCATTCCTTCGGGATCAGTGGGCGGTAACTGCTCACTATCTTCGTAGGTACTGATACTACTGAGATGTTTTAAAAATACGTAGCGGTTCTCAACCTGTGGGTCACAAACAATGAAAATACATCCTGCATATCAGATATTTACATTACGATTCATAACAGTAGCAAAATTACAGTTATGAAGTAGCAACGAAAATAATTTTATGGTTGGGGGTCACCACAACATGAGGAACTGTATTAAAGGGTCGCGGCATGAGGAAGGTTGAGAATTTTTCCTCATTGTGTTTGCTATTCCTGATTCTCTAGTTGGCAACTAGCAGATGATGGAGATCTAGAGGTGTTATTTAAAATCCTTAGATTAGAAGAGATTATGCGGGGAATGAATGTACATGGAGAAGAGAAGGGTCCCAGAATTCAGTCACTAGGCTGGCCAACTCTCAGAGGCCTGGCCAGGAGAAAGGACCAGCAAGCAGACATAAATGTCTGTGCTAAGAGTTCTGCTGTAAAGCAGATCAGGGCAGTAAGTGGAGGGGGGCGTTTTCATTGTGCTCTGTTGTTAGGAAGGAAGATGGCTCAGCATGTTTCCTATTGTAAGATGCAGAGGGGAAACGCGACCAGCAGCTGAGAGAACAGGGGGCTGTCGGAGGGGACCGTGGCCTCTCCAAAGCCAGTGGAAACAGGAGCCCACACGCACTTGAGGGGTTTGGATGGATCACAGCCAGCTCATTCGTAGAGTCTGGAAGGAAGGCCTAGCAGGGGAAGACAAGAGGGATGAAGTCTGTGGAAGTTAACCTGCTGCTTCTGGAAGTTTTGGGAGGAGGAGTGTTCTAGAAAAGAGTGGAAGTATGAATGGAACAGGACGACCCAGCAAGCCCTCACTGAAATGATCACCCAGAGACTAGAGGTGAGTTCAGGATGGGCACAGGCAAGTCTCTCTGAGTAAAACGTCCTGAGAAATGGATGTCCAACCGATAAGGAGAAGGGCATCTGAGGCTGTGTTTTTTAGAGTCATGGCCTGTAACAGTGACCTTCACATTGACCTTCACCTCTGTGCTCACTGGAGCAGAACCGAGCAATATGTCCACCCACTGGAGCTGTAAATATATTTTGCTGTTCCGTTCACATGGCAACTTCCTTAATCTCGGTTAATTATTCTGCAAGAACTCCCACAGGACATCATGGAGCATATTCCTGGAGTGTCCCTATAATTGTCTGTCGAGGGCCTAGATGGGAGTTTAATTTAATGACTTAACGCAAGCCCCTTAGTGAACGTAAATGCTCAGTGAAGTCCGGTTAGGCTGGCCTGGGAGGTCAGGTGCCCCACACTCCCCGGCCGCTGATGGGGAGACTGTTTACAGGGGTATAACTCAGTCTGACCTCACACTTAAGAAAATATACGGAAGGCCAAGCATAAACTCTAGGAAAATGTAATGCGGGAATTCCCACTCAAAATGGGAACCCAAACTGTACGTATGGTACCTGCGAATATGTAGCAGCTCTAGAGAAGAAAACTACAAAAAAACTTCTGAGAGACATAAAGTAAGAGTAATAAATGGAAAACATACATTATTGGATATGGAACTTTTATGGTTTTCAGGTGTATTGAACATGGAAAATTTACAGATCTAAACACCGAAAGACTCATGGAAATAGGATGCTGTGTTTATTTGAAAGATGCATTAGCAGCGGCAGCAAAGGCTTCGGATCAGCTACCCGCCCCCTGCGATAGCACAGGAACCATGATCTCCTTTTAGGAAGTAGCAGCTGCCATTTAGTCTTTGGCTTCTCAGTCAGAATGGAAGTTTCCCCCAAACACACACACACACACACACACACACACACACACACACACACCCCTGCTGATCATAGTGTTATACAAATGCCTACATCAAAGTCCTGAGGTAATTAAGTGATCTCTTCCATTTCCCTATAGGATATTCTAATTAGCATACATTTCCTTAATTCCCTGCCGTCACCAAGGACAATGAGATTCTTCCAGTTGTATTTATTTTTTTGCTCGACAACAAATTATACTTGCTGTTTTATTGCCTCAGAGTGAAAATACATAGATTATCCATAATCAATCTGTGGCAAAACTGGCTCCGGGAAAATGAAGGATTATTAGGTCATTATCGAAGTCTCCCTGGTCAATCAAGGGCAGACTCGCAGCGGCAGTCATGCCCGGCCATCTCCTTCTCTTCTTCACAAGCCAAACCCCACGTTAACTGGCTTATCTATTCTTCCCCTTTGACCCGAGCGACTTGGGCAAAGCTGACCCACCCCCAGCTCATGCCATGAGGTGACAGTAACCAAATGGAAAACAATGGAAACTCAACAAAGCGCTGCCATCCCAGCTCATGCCATGAGGTGACAGTAACCAAATGGAAACTCAACAAAGCGCTGCCATATCTTTGGCCAGAGATCGGGTCACCTGTCCAGGACTGAACTATAGACACAGCTGGCTGAACCAACCAGAGGACCTGTTGCCCGCGGCGACAGGAGAGAGCTCTTTGTCTCTTTCTCTGATTCATAGCAGAAGTACATCTATGCCAACCCTCCCCCCAAAAAGTAGGCAAAAAGGAGTTTTAGTTAAAATAATATCTTGTCCGTATCATACACATGATATGAAAAATAACACTAGCAATATCTATTGAGTGCTCACGATACGTGAATGCTGTGTGTATCGTCTCTCTTAAGCATTAATTAGGACAGAGAGGCCTAGAAAGATTCATCATTTGCCCCAAGTCACAAACATGGTAAGCTCAATGTTTGGAATTTAAACACATACCAAGGCTGACAGCATCTCCTCTCACGGTTATGGGTAAGGAAAGTACTGACCACCTGGTAACAGACTTGCTCGAAGAACCTTGCGATTTACAAAGGCCAACTCCCACCCATGCTCTGGTCTGCAGAGGCAGGGCCGGCTGCCGGGAGACAAGAACTCCTGGCAGGACCAGTTACCCTGGGCCCTGCCCCATCCCAGTCCCACTCTCTGTTCTCTGGGGTCTTTGTTCTCCCACCAGAGCTGCTGGGAATAGCCTTTCGGGCTTTCTCAGCCAGAAGAACCTGGATCAGAAGTCCTACTCAGCCCTGGCAGGTCAAGTACCCGCGGGAACCAACATACCCGGACGTGAAGCGGACCCCGGTGCCGTCACCCACCTTGGGCATGCAGACGACCAGGTGCCCTGTCGTCTGAGACCTTCTAGCAGAGCTGCTGTCAGGTTTGACCTCTGCCGGAAGGACGAGCTGAAATGGCTGAAAGTTAACACCAGGTGTCAGAGAGCAAGGGCATCTGACATGGGAGAGTAGTTGCTTGAGGAGGTATTTTCATGACAAGTTTACGACTCCACATTCAATTTTTAAAGACGAGCTTAGATTGACTAGAAGAACACTAATACATGGGCTGTGCTTGACATGCATGACCTGTTTTACCTATTTTAATGAACAGTCAGTCTAAAGAACAATCATCAATCAAAATCAAAGGAAACACTCATCGGTCCATTTTTGTTAATGTGGCTGATAAAGAACTTGCGGATAAAAATCACTGTCATAAGACGTGAACATGTTTCCATTTTAAAGTCTTTGAGCGACCTCGGATGAATGATCAGAATTAGCACAGACTCCTCTTTCAAAAATGATGAAACTACACTTACCAAGAATGGAAAGCACTGGCAATTTAAATTTAAAATGGGCATATTATTTAAATATAATTTCAAGTGTAGCCTACGACATATATAAAAGTCAGCCTTGGACAAAGTACCCACGCAACAGACACAGGATAAACATATTAATTTATCCAGCCACACAGCGGTCAGCAAGCATTCCTGCTAAATACCCCTCCCCTGGCAGAGTCACGTGCCTAAGAAACAGCTCTCTGATTGGCTTTCCCCTTTTCCATTTTAATATTACTTTTAAAAAAGTTCAGGCAACTAGCATAGTCCAAGGGTAGGCTTTGGAGACGGAGCCAGTCCACAGGGCATCCTCACCTTTCCCTTGACCGTTACTCGCACGTAAGTTGGCTGCACGTCAACATTGATCAGAGAGGTATCCATGTACCTTGAAAATTCAACACATGAAACACACTCAGTCTTGTGAGTTTCCAAGAACATTAAGTTTGCAAACAAATTTACAAATACAAACCCTCACTTAGGGGACCCCTTTAAATGGAGAGAGTTTAAAATGTCCATGCTAAACAGGCCTTAAAAAATTAGCTTTGAGTTAATCCTCAGACCAAAGGAAATGCAACGTATCAGCAATTCCGTTTTTAGGCCCATGAGTACACTTGGCATTGACTGCCCCTAACCCAAAAGTATCAGAGGTCTGAACCGTCAGAGGCTTGCAAAAACCGGCTTGCCGTGGTCTTTCGTGAATATTTTATTTTAAGCCCCTAAGACTGACATGAATAGCCAGGGATGCTGACTGCACTCTGCTTGGGGCCTGCAACCCCGGCCCCGCTTCCTTAGCTGCTCTGCATCCCTGGCGGTGCCCTGCAGCTGCCCCGATAGCATCTCCCCCGTGGGCTTTGCTTCCCTGGAAGGCACGGCCTGCTGAGTGAGCAGAGTCTATGGCAGAGACCCTGGGATCGGCTGGCAATTATTCTCCTTGACTTTCTGGGCAAATGGAAGATGTAGATTTCACCTCTCCTTTAGCCAAACACTATAGTTATATATATTGTGTGTGTGTGTGTATACACACACACACACACACATATTTTTTTTTTCAGAGAAGAAAGGAGAAAAACATCAGTGATGAGAGAGAATCATTGATCTGCTGCCTCCTGCACACCCCCTACTGGGGATCAAGCCCGCAACCTGGGCACGTGTCCTAACTGGAAATCGAACCGTGACCTTCTGGTTCATAGGTTAACACTCAACCACTGAGCCACACTGGCCGGGCTACTTATATATTTTAAAATACTGATTGTGAGTAGTAGAAAATCCAGTGATGATTCAAAAATCAGACACATTCAGGCAGGTGGGGAACCCCGGGGTTACAGGCACAAGGTTCAGGCACACACACTTGTGAGGGAGGGCTCCACGCCTTCCTGTGTTAGTACCTGGGACCACATTCCTTCACCTTTCTAAGCTCAGCCTCCTCATCTGTAAAATCAAGACAAAAATAGTGCCTATTCCCTAAGATAGCTATGAAGATACATGCATGTTGCCTATAAACACAGTTAGTGTTCATAAAACGTCATTTTATTTTTACAAAATCCTGGTACTAAAAGGTAGAGTCAAGGTCTCCTAAAACTTCAGGTTCAATACCTGCCACATGAGTGGATGGCATATTCTTTCTCATGCTTAGGGCCTCGGAAGGTGTGTCCACCTGGCCCGAGCGGTGAGGTCTTTGCGTGCGCTGCTTTTCTCTGCCTCAAACACCCTCCTGCCCGTCCTACGCCGACCTCAGTGCTTCTCATCCCTGGATTTTCAGTGCTCAGATCGCTGGCTTTCTCTCACTCTCTGAAAATGTACCCCTTCCTGGGTAACTCCAGGGTAATAAGCCCTCCTGGTTCACCGGGATGAGAGACTGAATAAAAGAGAGCAAGTAAAAAAGTCCTTAAGAAGAGGAAGACCGTCCCAGCTGGCTTGGCTCAGTGGATAGAGCATTGGCCTGTGGACTGAAGGGTCCCAGGTTTGATTCTGGCCAAGGGCACATGCCTGGGTTGCGGGCTCCATCCCCAGTGTGGGGTGTGCAGGAGGCAGCCAATCAATGATTCTCTCTCATCATTGATGTTTCTATCTCTCTCCTTCTCCCTTCCTCTCTGAAATCAATAAAGAAATATATTTTTTTAAAAAAAGAGGAAGACCTGTACTATAATTCATGTGTACAAATGTTGACTCCCATCATCAGCATTCATTCATTCATTCATTCATTCCTGTACTTACTGAATTCCCACCAGGTACCAGGCACTGTTTTAGGTGCTGGAGACATAAGAAGGGGGAAACAAACAAACAAAACAAAGTTCTTGCCTTGACCGTAGATTTTTAAAAATACAAGTAAATTTATAGTTTGTCAGGTAGAAATCAAAAAGTGTGTGTGTGGGGGGGGGGGGGGGTAGAGAGAAGTGCTGGGAGAGGAGTGGGTACTGTTTTATATCAAACCAAGTTTCATTTCAAAATGTGTCACAACTCAAGAGGTCGCAACTGGGAATGAAAACAGGTGGAAGTGCCGTTACATAAATGCACAATGAAATGTCTTTACCTGTACACAGCCAGGTCCAGGATGATCTGGTTGCGTTTCTCATCATCTTTCAAAGAGAAGTCAAGTCTAAGGAATAATCCATTTTGGGAAGAAGAAGGAGGAAAAAAAAGATGACATCTTTAGCAATACTTTATAGGTAGCTTCATCCCATTACCAAAAGCAAATTTCATCATTATTATAATTTCCCATGACACACTTATTTTGGTAGCTGAACAATGAAATGTCGACGTTGATTTAAAAATGTCAACAGACACCTATAATGTGCTCATAATTTGTTTACATTGCTTAAAGGTGCGGATCTTAAGGTAAATTATAGACACAAAATGAGCATTGGTGCAGAGACAGAGACATCTGGTGGTTAAAGTTTTCCTTTCCATTTTATTGGAAATATTCATGGAGAACTAAATGCTGTATTTGTCTCCCCTTCTCCAACATGCATGCTAGTCCTTCAGTTTTAAACAGTCTTGTCTCCTATTCCCCAGCCATCTTTTTTCTTCTCCCTCCACCTTTCCATCACCTTGGGAAATGCTGAGATACTGCCCATTATGTTATTTTATTTTATTTTTCTAAAAATATTTTTTAATTGATTTTAGAAAGAGAGGAAGGGAGAGAGAGATAGAAACATCAATGATGAGAGAGAATCATTGATCGGCTGCCTCCTGGGGATCGAGCCCGCAACCTGGGCATGTGCCCTGACCGGGAATGGAACCGTGACCTCCTGGTCCATAGGTTGACCCTCAACCACGGAGCCACACCAGCTGGGCCTGCCCATTATTTATCCCCTCCATTTCACAGATGAGGAAACAGAGGCTCCGAGAAGCTGCCACCGCTGGGAAAGAGGCCACGGGCTGGAGAGGCAGGATTGTAAAGCCCTAGGCCTCTCAGCTACACCCTGAGGCCACGTCCTCGGTGTGACTCCCATGCTGTGCAGAATCACTGTGTCAGAGTTACTTGGTCACTTTTATTTCCAGCACTTCACTTAGCACGTTATTCTGTAAAACACATAACCCAGCAGTAGTGAAGAGTATAAGCTCAATTGTTCGGAAAATGTAACATTAGCAACAGGTCTGGCTGTCAGCAGTTTGTCTGCTTGTAGCAGCCACTCTCCTTGATTCCAACAGTCCAGCTGTACGGGACTTCAGTTACTCAAATGGCCTGTGCATTTTTTAAAGCTCATCTCGGGAGTTTTTTTAATGTGCTGGCCCCTCTGCCTTGGTTGCTACTCCCCGATGTTCCAGCCAGCCAACCCAAACTCTCCCTTCACACATCACTTGAAAGGTAATTTCAGAGGTTTCCTATGGCAGAGATTGCATTCATTCCCCATGATCTGCTTCCCCTTTCTCACTAGGAACAGCACCCCTGATTTTAACTAGGAATGGGGCTCTGCAGAATAAAGACTACATTTTCCAGCCTCCCTTGCAGCTAGATGAGGTCATGTGACTTAGTTCTGGGAAGGAAAGTGTTGTATGGCGCTTCCTGGGAATTTTCCTAAAGAGAGGCAATGTGTATCCTTCCTTTCCTTCCCCTTTCTTTGTTCAGCTGAGTAGAAGAGATTACAGGAGGCCAAGAGAGGAACCACGGAGTGTACTTAAGAAGCTATTGGAATTGTCCAGGTTTTGTTGACACAGAATAAGCTCCAGAGGGCACAGTTGATGTGGGGCGGGGGGGGGGGGT